CTCTTTCTTTTCTTTCCTCTACTCTCATCACTTATGCTCACAATAGCTTCACATTTTTCCTTGGGGTTAACCTCAGTATTAGCCCCAAATTGCCTCTCAACTTTATCCTCCAACTTCTTGACCAGTTGGCCCACCTGCATCTCCAAATTCCTTATAGTAGCTTCAGTGCTCTTGTGGTTAGAGATAGTTACTTGCATGAATTGTTGAAAGGTTTCTTCAAGTTTTGAAGTTCTATCAGATAATGCAGATATCTGTTGCCATTGTAATTGTTTTTGCAGTGGTCTATTGAATTGTCCTACTTGCCCAGATTGTCCAAATTGACTTTGACCCATACTTGGGTGAGGTTTCCACCCATGGTTGAAATTACCTTGGCGAAATTGATTGCCCATATAGTTGATGTCTTCTTGGGCTTCCATTGGAAAAGCACATTGACCATTGATATGATCACCACCACATAATTCACAGAGTTTTTGTTGAACCTATGAAACATTATGCAGGTCCTTTGGCAATTGAGAGAGTTTCTTCGTCAAATTCTCCAATTGTTGCGTGATAATCTTATTATGTGCAAGCAGAGCATCATGAGATTGTAACTGTAAGACTCCCTTCTACTGAGATGGAGCTCCTCTTTCATTATGCATCTCATTGTCATTAGTAGCCATGTTGTCAATCAATTCATATGCTTCCTCTGGAGTCTTGCATTTGATATTACCTCCAATCGAGGCATCTACCATCAATTTGGTTTGTGAACCAAGACCTCCAAGAAAAATAACGACTATTGTGGCTTTCCATTCAGTAAAGTCTCCTCCATGCCCTGCCTAAAGTCTTGTATCTATCTCATGTTTGACCTAAAGTCTCCTCCATGCCCTGCTTGAAAGAAGAACTTTGCAACCACATCTTCCCATTCAGTAAGGCTATCTTCCGGGAAAGAAATCAACCATAACTTTGCATTGCCTCCCTAATGAGAAAGGAAACAAACTAAGCTTTATAGCATCATCCGACACTCCATTAATCTTTACAATGTTGCAAATCTCATTGAAAGTTGTCAGATGCTCATATGGACTTTCATGAGACAGTCCATTAAATTGATTGCTCTTTACCAATTGTATCAACGCAAGCTTTACCTCCATGTTTGCAGCATTGACCATCAGCCTTGCTATACTGTTAAAGTGATGAGGGCTAAAAACTGTTGTGTAATCTGCCAGAGTGCGTCTGCCATTATTTTCTCCAGCCATCTCTTCAGTCATCTGGTCAGATCTTTGTGGTGAAGGTTGTAAAAGTGTCTCTGGAGAAGGGAACAATTCTCTAAATGTTCGAATTCTCCTCCTCCTTCTACTTTCGTCCAATCCTTCGTGAAGAGGTTTCGAGGTTTTCTTTCTTCTAGTTCTAATTGTATCCTGCATACACAAGAAAACAAAACCCTAGAAAACATTGTTAGAACAAAACAAAAACAAAATAAAAAAAAGTCAAGTCAAAGCTAATCAATAATCACACAAATAAAACAATTAAACCACGAGTCCCTGGCAACAACGCCAAAAACTTGTTAAGACTCCAGCAAGGGTACCGAATTGTATCAAGTAATATAAAATGGTAAGACCAAGTATCGTATCCCAAAAAAATCACGGCCTAAACAATTATGTAATTTCTTGATAAAATAAGACTTGAAAACAAACTATTTTAAGTTTAAAATGCAAATACTAAAAAGTAAATATGCATGCAATTTGAACAATTGGACAAAAATGCAAAGATGAACGGGTTTGATATTATGGAATGAATATGTTGTTGGAGTTAGATTTCACCTAGTTTACTCTTATGCATATATGAATTCTACTTCTTCATTAATGTTAATGTCACTATCTAAAGTACTTAAAACCCCGATTCCCCGGTGAAGAAAGCCTATCCTTAACTATTAGTTCATACGATTCATAGTATTCCTAATAATTAATTATGAAGAACAAAAGCTTAAGACAACCAGAACTCATACCTACATTCCTGAGCAATACTGCTTCTGGGAATAATTCTCCGGATCATGAATTGTAAGATATCTTCCGGTACTCACGCAAATCATACATCATGCTAAAGAATGAGTTAAACGAAGAAAGCATTACGCAAAGAAGAATTACTCTAACAATTAATGAAAGAAGCATATATAATCCATAATCAATTAAATACATGACAGTTTACAAAGGTTACATCATCCCTAACAACAAATAGAGTTTTGTTCACCATTGACATGGTGAAACTAGATGAACAATGGAAAAAGAATGAAAGATAAAACCCTAGAAATTGAATATAGGAGCTTCTGCATCGAAATCTGCCTTCAAGGGAGCAAGGAATGTGTTTCTCAGCCTATTTCATCCAAAGATACAAACCCTAAGACGTCCAAGTCCTTAAATAGAACATCAAAATAACACAAAACGGGTCCAAGGCCACGAAATTGACGCTCAGTGCCCCACTAATGGCGCTCAGCGATGTGTGGGTCAGAATTGGCGCTCAAGGTCAACTCATAGGGAAAGCAAGCGTGGTACGACTCAACGAAGTTGCGTTAGCGCCCCTGAAAAGGGCGCCTGGGTGCGAGCCAAAAGCATCCTGCGGTGAGGGCTCCAAAAACTAGCAACCAAGCGTGAGACAGTGTACTTTGGCGCTTGAGGTCCCCTAAAATGGCGCTCAATGCTACTAATTAGTACTTCAAATCTTCTTCGGAATCATCTCAATTCTTGTTGAAAAACACTGAAATCTAGCACAAAGCCATTAAATTCACCTTCAACTCTCTTATTCATCAAAACTATGATTCCAAGCTAGTTTCTAAGTCAAAAGGGGTGTTTTTAGTATCAAAATTAAGTATCAAATAACGGTAAATTCAACCGCTATCAAAGTTACATGCGAGTTAGGCAAGACTGTGGAAGTGTAGAATTTGTCTGGTTCATTCGAGGTAAAGGAAGCTAGTAATTTAATTATGTTTTTCTGTGTTTGAAATTTCTGGTTAGACGTTTGCATGTATGAATAAGTAGATGTTTGATTGAATTGTGTTTGAAGTTCTGTGTATGGCTGAAACCTGTGAACTGGTTGGGTTTTCTACAGGAAAGCGTTCGGTCTGTGCTATTTTTAAGAAGTGAATAAGGGAAAATGAAAGTTTGAGGTTAGGAGTGAAATTTGGGTGGTAAGATACATCTAGGCAAGTTTATTTAGACTTGTTAGAACCTTTAAGTTGCCTTAAAACGTGTAAATTGTAGGAAAATGGATTTTTAGTCATTGGGTTATTGATTTTGCATAATTTAGGTGAAATCTGTTAAGAGATCTTTTAGGTAACCTTGGATAGGTGTAAAGGTGTATATGATTCATGTTTGGAGGATTAGAAGTTTGGGAAATTGTTTAATTTTGGTAAAATCTAGCTTGTTCATAATTCTGCAGAAGTTCTGCAAAATTATGCAAAATATTGAGCGTTCGTTGTTAACCGCTTGGTCATGTTCAGGTACTTGGTCGTGAATTGGGTTCGGTTTCTTTAATCTTACCCGTTCATGATCGTTTGGTCTTAGGTCGTAGTTCTTGGTCTTGTGCTAGCGCTCGTTATTGGTCATGCGCTCGGCCTTATACTAGCAATTATGCTAGAGTTAGAGTTCGGCTTTATACTAGCATTTATGTTAGTGTTAGCGCTCGGTCTTGTACTAGTAGTTATGCTAGTGTTAGCGCTTGGTCTTATACTAGCATTTATGCTAGTGTTAACGTTCAGTATCTTCTAGTGGTCTGTTTTTAATAGTGTTCGGTTAATTCTTCTATTCTATCTATTATTGATCGTTCGGTCCTATCCTTTGGGTAGTGAGACACCGTTCAGTCTCCAACGTTCACAGAGTTCTCGGTTTTATGAGTGATGATATGATTGTTGAATGACATTATATTTAAATGATGAAGATTATGTTTTAAGTATTGTGGAAGAGAATTCCAAGGCGGAATTTCTCGTGGATAGTTATTGAATTGTATAGTATGAATGTGAATATCGTGCTAAGTTGGTGTTTATCCTGATGTTCTATGATTACTCATTCTCAAGTAGAGAGGAGTAACTCATGTGTGAGAATGGCAAGAGGTCCTTTAACCTCAGGGTATCGTGGTAATCTTCATTGGACTTACCTTGTGGGGTAGCTTGATGGGTGTCTTGCTATTTCACCACCACAAGTGCAGAAACACCTGTAGCTACACATTCATACAATCCGGATGGTCAAGTCAGGTGTTCGGTCTATGCATGAATTATAGTGTTCGGTCATAACTATTTGAGTGTTCGGTTGGTATATGCTTACTTGTATTCGGTTTTGGTATGTTGTAGTGTTCGACCTTATATTGTTTGGACTTGTACAAAATGTATGTTTGTATATATAATTAAATTATATTAGCATACCCTTATTTCTTGTTTTGTCCATGTTCATGTTCGGTTTTTCTCTTGCAATGTTCATCTTTGGATGTGAGCAGAGGTAGAGGAGTGCTCGCTGGAGCAAGCTTTGGAGGAAGGAGAAAGACTAACCGTTTAGTAGTAAATTACTATTTAATCTTGTTAATAGTTTTGTTTGAGTTGTTCGGTTATAATTTAACTTGGTAATAATTGTTCGAATTATGTGCATAGTTTTGGAATAGTGTAGGATTTTTGTAAAGTATTAAATATTATGGTTATTTTGTAATAACTGTAAAGTTAACTTTATTTCCAGTAACTATTTTATCATATTATTAAATTATGACACCTGTATATAGTTTTATACTATATTTTTGGGATGTTATACACATCCTTGAGAATAATAGGAAGCCAAACACAATTTCCGATTATTATAAACCTCTAATGAATGATATTCAACTTTGCAAGTGAAAAAATATATTTTAAAGAAATTGTGGTAATATATAAGTTTCTACCAAAAAATTGTTTTTATTTTTACGAGAGAAAAGTAAAACGATAAAAGGAGACGCGCGAGTGAAAATGAATAATAATAAAAAGGAGTGACAACAACACTTTACTTTGGTAAAAAGAGAAAGATTGAAGTTACATCTCAATATCAAATAAAGACAATCGCAAATGTGTGTGGAAGCCATGTATGTGTAGTTGTGTGAATTACACCTTATTGAAAGAATTATGACAACATAAAAGTAACTGCAACGAACGGTAACATAATGTTGTATGTTGTAATCTATGAAGAGAGGAGTTTGGCTGCGATGGTTGTTTTTGCAAGTGGAAGACATACGAGGTTGTGTTTTCTGGGAACTGTGAGGCCAGCTCTCTCTTCCATGCTAACTTTGGCATCATCACCTTTGAGTATGTGTCCTTGAGGGTCAACCACTTGCAGGTCAAAGCACTGGATAACGGATGCAAGAAGAGTTGCCATTCCTGAAGTAGACAAATTCACTCCAGGGCACATTCTCCTACCTGACCCAAATGGGAGAAGTTGAAAATGCTGTCCCCTTAGATCAATAGGACCAACTCCTCCTTCACCTCCACTTTCTAAGAATCTCTCGGGACGAAATTCCGATGGTCTGTCCCAGTACTTAGGGTCTCTTCCTACAGCCCAGACATTGAAAAGTATCAATGCACCCTCTGGGATCACACACCCATCAATCTCACACTCTTCCACACACTTTCTCTTGACCACAGGGAGTGGTGGGTGCATGCGGAATGTTTCCTTCACAATCGCCCTGATGTAAGGAAGGCTTTGAGTATCAACTTCGTCAACCAGTCTATCTTTTCCCACAACACTGTACACCTCTTCCCGAGCCTTTTGCAACACCCTAGGGTTGTTGATCAGCTCTGCCAAAGCCCACTCAGTTGCCACGGCTGTGGAATCTGTCCCTGCTGAGAAGAAATCCTGTCACAACAAAAATGTGTACATAAGCTTGGTGAGTATATATGCATATTTCATGCATCACAATTGTTTTTCAAAGCATTGACAACTTACCACAACAAGACCCTTGATCTGCTCCTTGGTAATTTTGATCTCCATGGTCTCGTCCTCAGCGAATTCAAGCAAAGTATCGAGGAAGATACCGCTCTGCTCTCCCTCAACAACTTCTCCATTCTTTCTCCTTCTCACGATCTCTTGGCGCTTCTTGATAACCTTCTCAATGACGGGGTCGAACTTGTTGAATATTTCATCAATCCTCTTCTCGTACTTTCCAAACTTGAGCTTCTTCAAGGGCCAGATGAAGTCAGTGAGACTGTACTCTCCGAAAATCTTAACCGTCTCGCGAGCCAAATCTCTAACCTCTTCGGCCTCACCCAGCATGAGCATGGAGATGGTGTTGTTGGTCCACTTGAGAAGCTCCTCGGTGACGTTAAGGGGTTGTTGGGCCTCTGCACTTTGGGCGAGAACTCTGAGAACCTTGCGGATCTCATGGCTCCTCAATGGCCTCAACTTGTTGACGGTGGTGGCGTTAAGGAGGTCGTTCATGATGAGTTTCCTGATGAACTTCCAGTAAGGACCAAAGGGAACCATGGCAACGGAGTTGTCATAAGTGAGGCGCTTAATGGCAGAGGTTTGGAACCTTGTGTTGAAGGAAGCAGCCTCGTGGGTTTGAAGGAAGAGTTTGAAGAGCTCAGGGGTGGAGGCAACAACGGTGGGCATAGAGCCAAAGTAGAGAGAGTACAGAGGGCCATAACGTTGGGAGAGAGTGATGAGAGAGTGGTGTAGAAGTTGGTCTTTCAAAAGGTGAAGGTGTCCAACGAACGGAAGCCTAGGCTTTGGGCTCGGAGGGTTGGGAAGGTGGCGAAGGGCCTTTGATTTTGCGGTTGGTGTGGGACGCAGGTGCAGAAACAGACCTAGCACCAACAACCCAACTGCGATTTCAAGCAACATTATGTTTGTTTCTGCTTCTGTGTTTTTATCTTGGTTTCTGCCAATACGAGCCTAATCCTGAGGATACAGGCTTCCCTCGCTCCCTTTTTATAGTAACTCACTTGTGTTGTGGGTCTACAAATTTTAACAATATTTTAACACTGCTCGTCATCTGGTACGCTTGAAAAATATTTGAAACTAAACCAATTATAAGCCACCTATGTTCTTGTACGTTGTTAAAAAAGATTCTGTTAAAAAAACATTTTTTTTAAAATAAACCATCATATTTTGACAACTTTTTCTAAATTTTTTTATAATAAATTATATGTTACTATTTTATTAGTATGTATATATAAAACGAGATTATTCATAAATTATGCTATGAAAAAGTTGTCAACAAAAAATTGTTAAAGAAACATTATTCCTTAAAATAACTCTCATTATTATTTTTTTTTTGTTTTCGAATACAAAGACAGACTATTCATTTCACTTCTAATACTATAATCGTTTTTGAAAATGTTTTTTTAATAATTTTTTACATTATTTTTGTAACAGCTTATTTTATATGATAATTTGTGATTGTAGCGTTTCAAATATATTTATTAATAAAACAGTTACATATAATTGTCATAAAGTTTTGTTAAAAAAAATTGTTAATTTATCATAGTACAATTGATTTTCACTGGTTTACCTTTTGAGAGGAAAAAGTTTCTATTTTAAGATGTCTATGGTTTTAAAGAGTGTGCTTCACATCGGTCTAAGATGATGTGCTGAGTTTTGACTTTGAAAAGCAAAAAGCAGTGCCTCCACTCCAGGCTGCTAGGCAAATAGTGCTTTGTGTTATGGGCTTCCCTGAACAAACACTGAAAACAGAAAACTGTAATCAATTTAATATAAAGCAAATATAATACAAATATATTTTTATTTTGTGTATGTTTATTACACATTTTTTTCTTTCAATTTCTTTACTTTTATAAATTTAAATATTTCAGAAATATATCAATTTTTTTCTCTCTAAATATGTACATAAATCATTTTTCTTTTATAGAAGGTTCCTTCAACTATATATGTATTCTTCACTTTGGAACACTACTGTTCATTGCGTTTTTTTTTAATTGCATAGTTTATTGCGTACTCGTGTTTAAAAATAACTATTTTCAAAACTATTTTTAAATTAGTATAAGAATAAATTAAAACCATAATTAAATCAAAGCAATTTTATAAAAATGAGATTAAATAAAGTTAAAAGTCTGTTTACTATTATTTTAAAATAATAATATTCTGATACACAAAGTTTTACATTTTTTAATAATTTTTTATTTTTTTTTCTTTTACAAATACAAAAGTTTATTGTTTATAATATTACTTTATTTCTATAATGTTTGAAATAAATATCAATCATACCACTACACCTATTTTTATTTTATTTCGAAATTCAAAGTATAATGATTTCCTCATTCCAGACATGGAGAAGTGCATGCATTCAATATCTAGAAATTTTCAAGTCAAATATGGATTATATATGATTATTTTAAGAAAGCTATACGTTGACGACCCTGAAATTGTACAGAATTATGATGTGATTGTTTTAAAAAAATAGAAAATTTGCAATTAAGTATCGTAAAAAGATATTATAATGATATTATTTTAATAAGTGTAAATTGATTAAAGTGATTTAATTTAGGACCGCGATATTCCAACAATCATTTCTTAACACTTTTTTGACAACGCCACGTGTCCTATTTTCATTGGTTTGGTTTAAAAAAAATATTTTATAAAAACCTTCGAAATGGAAGTCCGTGACCCTTCTTTTAACTGAAAATCCGAAAATACCCCTTTCTCTGTTTCATTGGAAACGAAGTTCCCGTCTCGTGAAGGTCCCATCTCCTGAACATGTTTCGTGCCTCTTGACTTAGCTTTGTATGTGATTGTTCTGTGTGCGTGGTGTTGTCTCCCTCCATTTTCGTAAAGGTGGTGTTTTTCGTACAAGCTATCGTGCTGAATGGCAAGGTCCGGTGACCATTGTCCGACGACGGAAATGAACAACCTTTGAAGACGTATGTTAGGGTTGGATCCCGAATGCGTTACAAGGGAAGAGCACTTAGGACTCCATACACCGGAACCGTAGTGCTTAGAATAAAAAATGAGTGATATGTGTATTTAGTTGATTAATGGAAAGTAAATGATCATTGTAATC